ATCACAGATGTTCCCAGGTAAGGGACACAGGGACTACAGAGGTTTTAGTGTACCAAACAGCAGTGTACATCACAGTTGAGCTGTAGTTCACTGAAATGCAAATATTTTTATTAATTCAATGTTTTATTTTTTTCCCAAAAAGGAAAATCAAGGCCTTAATTTCCTAGTTGTTTTACAAATACATTCTGTGGGTGATACTCTCACATCTGATTATGCTAAGTAAAAGGATCCAAGTGGTGTTATTGGGTGCTAACAGTTCCAGATCTATCTAGGAGAGAATTCCCCATGCACAGGAATAGTGGAAGAAATCTGATGTCAGAGGCAATCATGGGATGGGGTTTGGGGCAGGAAGGGTGTTCAAAGAGTAGAGCCCCAGCCACAGCAGCACTTAGAACTGCAGAAATTCTGGACAGTGATGCTGCCCTTAGGCAGGCATGAAAAGCCTGTTAAGATTATGCAGCTGTGGAAGCAGCCCAGAATCAGGCATGACTTAAAAGCACCTTTGCTCCATTTGTGAGCTCTATCCTGCACCTTTTGGAGGCATAGCACAGAACTTCACCCTCTATGTACAGCCCTTTTTGAAAATATACTTACTTGAGTGTGCATTTACTTGAAATATAGACAGGAGTGTAAGTAATTACTGTCATGTTGCACCCCTGTGGCAGGGTGCTCAAGGCAGGGAAAGGAGTGTGTGTGATACAATACCTTTAAGAAATGTAAGCGTGTGATGGAATGTGGGGAGCTCAGGGCAAGGAGGTAGGTGGGGGGCATAGCAGGAGTCAGGGCAGGATATATAGAACCATTTTCTGCTTCTCGAGTAAATTAGGTCTTCTCTACAACATGCATTTCCCTGTGCTAGAAGGTGTAGATTCTTATGCACAGTAGTGTGTCATGCCCTAAGTTATCCATGTGGAACTCTGGAGGCACACATTAAAAGTTCCCTGGAGCATGGTATTGTAGTACTGTTTGAAATTGAACTATATTAATGTGCACCATGGAACTTTTCAAGTATGTTAACAGGAGTCCACAAGAACAACACAGTAATATGCACTGGAGTTTATAGATTTCTTTTGTAGACTAGTGCACTGCATATGTCATGCCTCCCCATAGGTGTGAAGTTAGAAATATTAAGTGGAAACCCTCTTTCTGTGCTTATGGAAAACAGTCAGATTCCAGGCATATCCCATTGTTCTGGCACAACCAAACCCTGGCCTTGCTTTAAGTTATGATAAGAGGAAGCTGTAGACTAAATTTGGTGGTCATAGATCTTACCTTTTTTCAGGAGGCGTTCTTGAAAAACAGACTAGCAGATGGCTGGATGAACAGACACACATTTCTAAAATATATTGTAGATAAAATAAATAACAAAATGTAAGATTACCCGGCATTGCTCAGGTCCTTAACTCAATTAATTTTTGTTTTTCATTATTTAAATCATTGCTCTGTGGTAAG